CCTGTCCCTGCAGTTTCGCTCGAGTCAGCGCAGCACATACCATACTACGAAGGCACGTACACGCCACCGCCCCTGCCCTTTGTCCGTGGTGCTTTTGTCGCCCATCGTTCGGTGCAACCGGTCCAATACATCGACGATCAGCACTCGTCTCCTCGGAAGTCTGATGTCTGGCGCACACCTGATCACCGGCCTCTATGCTTTCACTGTGGAGAAGCTGATTACTTGTACCACCAGTGCCCATATCGCCGTCTTGGGCTTCGCGGCTTCTCTGCGTACTCGCCACCACCCCGTTACGGACAGAGACCACGCCACATCGAAAACTACCTCTCCCAGCAGCATGCACCACCGTCTGCCGGGCGCCAGTTGCGCTCGGCATCACCGAGACGATTTTCATCGACGCCCCAGCGGTATTCTACCGCACGATCTCCCAGCCCCCGCCGGGAAAACTAGCCGTAGCGACCTCTGGGGGCGGGGTCGCTGAACGTCGAAGCACTGAAGACCTCCTATTGACGCAGAACCGCACAGAAACTGGTCCGACATCACCTGCTACTGCAAAGGATAGCCGGCTTTCACTCGACATAGCAGTGACAATTGATGATTGTGTAGTTAATGCGTTAGTGGACACCGGCGCAGACTATTCCATACTGAGCGGGAAACTGACAACGCAGCTGAAGAAAGTAATCACGCCGTGGCATAACTCGCAGATTCGGACAGCTGGTGGTTATGTCGTTACTCCACTGGGTGCCTGCACAACTAGAGTACAGATTCAAGGGTATACATTCGTAGCAAGCTGCCTTGTTCTACGTGAATGCTCCTGTGACGTCATTCTGGGAGTTGACTTTCTACAGGAAAATGGAGCTATCATTGATCTGCAAGAGCGCCGCGTCACGTTCTCAGCCCAGCGAGCAATCAACGTGCAGGATGACGGAAGGCGTGTCGACGTACTCTGTATTTCTGAACAGGGCGCGATGCTTCCTCCCCGAGCCAGTGTTCTAGTCGACGTAACATACTGTGGTTTGAGCAATGGCGATGTGGTGGCCGAGACAAATTTAGAACACCTCCTGCAGCAAGGCATCTGTGTAGCGAGAAGTGTAATACACAATCGTGATGGCCGATCTGAATTGCTCGTTACCAACTTTAGCAATGAGCATCGACACCTTTTCCGTGGCACTTCGATAGCGTTTGCCCACGAAGTAGCAAACGTAACCAACTGTCTCACGTCAGAAATAGTGGATAACGCAGACACGTCAATGAGCAACATTGACATCAATCCTGATCTGTCCACCGATAACCAGACTGCGCTGCAAGTGCTCTTGTTCGAGTACAGGTTTTGCTTCGCAAGTTGCTCAAAGATCCCCCAGACGTCCATCACTCAACACAGGATCATCACGTACGAGGACGCACGCCCAATACACCAGCACCCCTTCCGCGTGTCGGCTAAAGAATGTGAAGCGATACGTACGCAAGTTCGCGAGGTGCTTGACGATGGCGTTATCGAACCATCTAACAGCCCGTGGTTATCTCCAGTCGTGCTTGTCAAAAAGAAGGACGGGTCGCTACGTTTCTGCGTCGATTACCGAAAGCTTAACAACGTGACCAAAAAGGAAGTGTACCCGCTGCCTCGTATCGACGATTCGCTGGATATACTTCGTCGTGCCCCTTATTTCACTTCTCTCGATCTCAAAAGTGGGTACTGGCAAATCGAGGTAGATCAGCGAGACTGTGAGAAGACAGCCTTCATGACTCCAGATGGCCTATACAAATTTCGAGTGCTCCCTTTTGGCTTGTGTTCAGCGCCGGCAACTTTCCAGCGAATGATGGACACTGTCCTCACAGGGCTCAAGTGGCAGACTTGTCTTGTCTACTTTGATGATGTGGTGGTCTTCTCTACCACCTTCGAGCAGCACCTCACCGCCTGCGCAGCGTGCTGGAGGCTATCCGGTCGGCGGACCTCACACTAAAGCCACAGAAGTGCCACTTCGGCTACAAAGAACTTAAATTTCTTGGACATGTAGTTAGCGCCGAAGGAATCCGGCCCGATCCGGACAAGCTTGCCGCTGTTGCCGAATTACCAGCTCCTGTCGATAAGAAAGCCGTCCGGCGCTTCCTTGGTTTGTGCGCCTACTATCGCCGGTTCATTCATGGCTTTTCACAGATAGCAGAACCTCTTACTTGTCTCACAAAGGATGACACACCGTTTGTCTGGGAAAACGAGCAACAAGCAGCTTTCGATGAGCTGCGACAGTGCATGCAATCAGCGTCCGTTCTCGCTCATTTCGACGATGATGTTGCCATGGAGGTCCATACCGACGCTAGTAACGTTGGGCTTGGTGCAGTGCTCGTTCAGCGTCAAGAGGACATCGAAAGAGTGATAGCCTACGCCAGCCGCTTTCTATCCCGTGCCGAGGCGAATTATTCCACTACGGAGAAAGAGTGCCTCGCAGTCGTGTGGGCAATCACCAAGTTTCGCCCGTACCTTTATGGTCATCCCTTCAAGATAGTGACGGACCATCACGCGCTCTGTTGGTTGGCAAGCCTGCGCGACCCTTCAGGACGGCTAGCACGGTGGAGCTTGCGGCTGCAGGAATTTGATGTCACCATCGTCCACAAGTCCGGCCGTAAGCATGAAGACGCTGACAAGCTGTCACGCGCACCCCTTCATGTCGTCAGTCAGGAAGCAGAGGAAGACGAAGGCTTCCTGGGCGCCGTTAGCGCATCAGACTTGAGCAAACGGCAGCAAGATGATGCAGAGATTCGTCCAATCATTGATCATTTAGAGGGCCAGGGCGCAATCATACCACGTCATTTATCCCGCTCGTTGACGTCGTTCTGCCTGCGAGACGGTGTGCTGTACAAGAAGAACGCTCGCTCGAACAACCGTGCTTACCTCCTGGTGGTTCCTCGAGACATGCGAGATGACGTCCTCTACGCTTGCCATGATGAACCCACATCCGGTCATCTGGGCTACTCAAGGACACTTGCCAGAGTGAGCGAGAGGTACTATTGGCCAGGACTTTCAGCAAGTGTCAAGAAGTATGTCAAGAGCTGTCGGGAATGTCAGCGCCGAAAGCAACCATCTGATAAGCCAGCTGGTTTGCTTCAGCCCATTGAAGCACCCTGCACGCCGTTCAACCAAATCGGCATGGACATTCTCGGCCCACTTCCCCTGTCTGCGGACAGCAACAAATGGGTGATCGTCGCGACCGACTATTTGACACGCTACGCTGAGACGCAGGCGATCCCACGAGCCACGGCTTCTGAGGTAGCACAATTTTTCATGCGCCACATCGTGTTACGACACGGTGCTCCTTCCAGTATAATAACGGACAGAGGGACGGCATTTACGACGCAGCTTATGGACGAAGTTTTTAAACTGAGCAACACCAGACACTGAAAGACAACTGCGTACCACCCGCAAACCAACGGACTTACCGAGCGACTGAATAAGACCATCGCAGACATGATCTCAATGTACATCGACGTACAGCACAAAACATGGGACCGGATCTTACCTTACGTGACCTTCGCGTATAATACCGCCGTGCAAGAGACCACGCAGTTCACGCCATTTCGGCTTCTCTACGGCCGCGAAGTGCAGACCATGCTGGACTCTATGCTACCGTGTCAAGATGAAGACGAGTTGGCAACTGACGCCTATGAATTCGCAGAGCGTGCTGAGGATGACCGGCAGCTCGCGCGACTACACATCGGCCAGCAACAGCAGGCAGACGCACGGCGCTATAACATCCACCACAGAGAAGTGTTTTACAACCCCGGACACCAAGTTTGGGTGTGGACACCCGTCCGCCGCCGTGGCCTTAGTGAAAAGTTACTGAGCCGGTACTTTGGCCCATATAAAGTGTTATGCCGCATGAGTGACGTGAACTACGAAGTGGTTCAGGACTCAACATCGCAGGCACGGAGCAGGACACGACCGAGGCCGGACGTCGTTCATGTGTTGCGCATGAAACCATTTACTGCGCGTTGTTCGTAACTTTTTCCTTGCCGTACACTGTTCTTTGTGTTATTTATTTATTTTTGTGAACTTGCTTCTTCGTTCACTGATTTTTCCTGTATTGGCACGCTCATTGATTTCTACTTTTACTTTATCCGAATTTCCATTTTTTTTTCACGTGCCTATGTCGTGACATCGGGATGGTGCTATGTACTTTTCTTTCCTTCTTTTGGGACTTTTTTTTTTCTTTTCGAAAGGGGGGATAATGCCACCCACACGTAGTGGGTCGACTGCAAGAGCGGCTCTACCATCTGGAGGAAAGAAAGAAGATCGCGTGCCTCTTCTCGACTCGAGAGCCAGCCACGACTGACGCATCGTCCCAGCGCTAGCTATTCGGTGGTTTAATAAACCCCCAGTACTTGTGATTCATCGTGACGATATATTTTACAGGAATTTAGTGAAGAAAGTACCTCTGAATAGCTTTTAGCTGCCTTAAGAGCTGTAGAATCAAATAGGCAAATAAAAAATATCTGCACTTTTGTATCCTATTCAGTCAAAAGACCGGGAGTGGAAGGGTTGAAAATTACCGTCTCTGTAGGCCCAGATTTTCCGTCTCAACTTTTTTCAGTGAATGATGGGAGTTAAACTGTGCCTTTTGCGACCATTTGTAGGTGCACTGTAGATAAAGGAGGTAATGTTCTGTGTCTGGTTTATCTCCGTGATAGTGTTCACACTTTTGCATCCACTAAAAATGCTAAAAAAAAAACAACAATCTGACTGATCACCCGAGTGACCGCAAAATGATGCAGTGTCTCTAAACAGGGGCTGTGAAAACTTGGTGTGGCAGAGCACCTCAACCGGTAGAGAAATGCATGTTGAAAACTTCGTAATACTAAATTCCATGCATTACACAGAGCACTTAAAACGGTATGCTAATGATCAAAAGGACCCATACTTATGACAACAATCATCAAAACTATTTGACGGTTTTTCTCAAACCTAAGAAAAAAAAAACTTCGAAAAGCCTTGTTTGCAGTCAGCTCACCTGTCTATAGATTTCCCTGGCCTGCTGGTAGTCCCCTTGGGCCTCCTTCTCCAGGGCTTTCCTTGCCTCCGGCCCGACGTCCTTGCAGAGAGCCAGCGAGGCACGCACAGCGTCGTAGTCTCCAAGAGATTTGTACAACCTGCGAAGCACTCCATGTTTCACGAGTGAAGAAAGGCAAAAAAAAGAGCATCCCACAAGATGCTCTTTTATAAAATAAAACGATTTTGTGTAGTTATTGTTTAAGCCTTTCAGGGTGAAAGATTAACATGCACGTCATCCCAAACAGCCACAGCCACAAGACAGTCAAAGATGTACATGTACGTCGTTGCCTATGTGTCTAAAACTGATGCCTTCTTTGACAATTTTTCTAGCTTGGCAGGTGCTGCCACTTTGAGGAATACATACGTAGAACTTTTCTCTTAGTGCCACCCCCCCCTCTCTCTCTCTCTTTTTAATACTCTGCTGCACTGCAATGGTGCCCGGCTAGTTTTGGTTTCGTCCTTGGGCTGGTTTCCACTTACTGTGCCCACAAAACCAATGGCTTTCTAGTTTAGAATCTTTCAAAGATGACGTTATGGTTACCATCTTGTTTATAGCTCCCCGACGCAAACTATGCCATTGTGGTTGAATTTCCTGTTTTGGGGACTTGCAAAAACTCCTTCCCTTTCGTTGGCGATAAGACGAATGAAATTCACAACTTTTAGACTCAATTTTGATTTCTGAATGCGCTCACAACTACAGAACTTTTTCAGTGCGCTCACCCATGCAGTTTGCCTGTGCTATGGAAATGCGTGCCAGTTTCTCGTCCTCAAAGGTGAGTGGGGGAACTGCCGCTAGACTGGCGAAGCAGATTCTGATTCAGCAAAGGTCAGCCTGTCACACAAGGCCTCGCTTACGAGTTTAAGTTCACAACTTGATGAGTGAGGGGCATCTCAAAAGCGTGTGCGACGAGCCGACGCCGGCTGGATAAAATGTGGCTATGTTTCCAACTTCACACGACTTCACACGACCATGTTTCCACTTCACACGACTTTATGCACTTATTTTTCTACATCTATGAGATACATTGATGTTTATTGCAGCACACAGTTTATTTAACTGTCAATAATTTTTAAATTTATTTTGCTATTCCTTATGAAAGTCATCGGTACGTAACAAGAGAAACATTTTATTTGTTACTTCACGGTCACCCCCAAAAAATGCTAGACAATGTTTTTTTCTTAAATATACTCTTCTGGAAAATTCAACTCAGCAATAAAACAATACACATTTTCGAGACGAATATAGCGAAAAAAAAAACCACTTTCAAAAGGTTCGCATAAAAAGTTTTCTTCAATAGCAGTCTTTGTATCACAACTGCTATAGTCTCACATGACTGAAAAAAAAAAGAAAAAAAGAGCCAACATTTTCTCGTGGCTTTGTACAATCAATTTTTGCTTAAATTTCAACTTTCAATAGATAACATAGCCAGAACTACAGCTTGTAGGTGGACTATTGCCATAAAATACGCCAGACGCCGTACTCACTCAGCTAGTTGCATCCACATTTCTTCATCTGGACGATCCTCTTTCTTCGATCGCTTGGCTGGTGGTGCTTTGGTCTCTGCCGACAGGCTGCTGGCACGATTCATTTCTTCCAAGAGAAGGATTCCTGCACAAGAGGTAGCCTTGCTTGAAGATCTAGATATTTAGATGCTAAAAATGTCAAGGCTGCTCTGGCAAAAGTTTTCCCCACATTGAGAATTGTCCTTTAGACCTTTTTTTTTATAAACTATAGATGTTATATGGCAGAGTAGTTCTACAGCTGTACAGAAGCCGAAACAACCACGATGATATCGTAACAAGCAATAACAGCCCAGAGGAATTTGACATCCCACCAGTAATGAGAGGGGAAGTAAGGAAAGCCCTAGAAGAAATGCAAAGAGGAAAAACCGCTGGTCAGGATCAAGTGACAACAGACCTGCTGAAAGATTGCAGAGAAAATGTGTTAGAAAAACTGGTTACCTTGTATATCAAGTGTCTCTTGATGGGAAGGGTGCCAGAATCTTGGAAGAATGCCAACATCATATTAGTCCATAAGAAAGAAGATGTCAAGGACTTGAAAAATTACAGGCCGATCAGCTTACTGTCCATTCTCTATAAACTATTATAAAAATAACAGCTAATAGAGTTAAGGCCACATTAGAGTTCAGTCAACCAAAGGACCAAGCAGGGTTTCGTACAGGCTACTCCACAATAGACCATATTCATACTATCAATCAGGTAATAGAGATATGCACAGAATACAACCAATCCCTACACATAGCCTTCATAGATTACGAGAAAGCGTTGGACTCAGTCAAGACATCAGCAGTAATGCAAACCCTACAGAATCAGGGCATCGACAAATCCTGCATAAACATACTGGAAGAAATCTACAGTGGATCCACAGTCACCATAGTTCTCCATAAAGAAAGCGACAGAATCCCATTAAAGAAGGGTGCAGAAGGGGCAGGGAGACACGATATCTCCAATGCTATTCACCGCCTGTTTACAGGAGGTTTTCAGGGCCCTAGATTGGGAAGAGTTTGGGATAGGGATAACAGTTAAAAGAGAGTATCTTAGTAACCTATGGTTCACTGATGACATTGCCTTGATGAGTAACTCAGGGGACAAATTACAGCTCATGATTACTGAACTGGACACGGAAAGTAGAAAAGTAGGTCTGAAAATTAATAGGCACAAAACTAATGTAATGACAGTATCGACAGAAAACAGCACTTTGCGATAGGTGGAGAGATGCTAGAATTTGTAAAGGAATATGTCTACTTAGGACAGGTAGTAATCACGGAGCCGAAGCATGAAAGTGAAATAACTAGTAGAATAAGAATGGGGCGGACCACATTCGGCAAGCATTCTCAAATCACGCATGGTAATCTGCCACTAACCCTCAAGAGGAAGGTACACAACAGCTGCATCTTGCGGGTACTTATCTACGAAGGTATATGCATGCCAAAAACTTCGCAATATATAATGAGGATGATGGCAAGACAAAAAATTCAGCCCTGTGCTCCATGATTGCCAATACAGTGTTATGAGGCTTACGAGCACTTTATGATAATGTCTTTGTATTTAAATGTTTCCCATTAAGTCTACAATGGCATTCTCTATTGTTGGGTACCGAAGTCAGCAGCAGGAAATCTCTAGCAGTAAAGTTGATGTAGTGCACCCTGTACTGCGCTTAACGCTTCCTCAGTACTTTGTTTTTTGTTAAAACAGCAGTTAACTCAACATGGTTCTACAGGGGTACAGCCGTGGCAACAGAAGTGGTCAAGCTGAATGTGGCCAAAGGTATTCCACATTTTAATGCTACAGCGCAACTAACTTGAGGAACATTTTAATAGCAGACTAGAGAGTACACAAATGGAAGCAGTAGAAAAATTTTACCACTTTTTTATTTTCACTTAGTTCATGACAATTTTCGATGAAAACAGCGTAACAATGGCTGGCTGCCATACAACAACAGTACAGCAAAGAATAGTTACCAAGGCTTTGATGGCCACTGGCTATAGACGCTCTCGAAATGGCAGCTGATGGAAGTTCCAGATCTGAAGCACTTTGAAAGGCTACTTCCTGTAAAAGATATGAAGTGGCGAGTTGGGCGCCTTGGCAAACAATTCTAAAATGCTGCAGCTGAAAAAAAAATGCACGGAAAGAACAAGTATAATAGGAATGAGTGCTCGCCCTTGTCATTTTTCTTCTGTCCGCACGTTTCCTGAGCTGCAGTTTTTCCCGCTTAAATTGCATTGAACAAACTGATGAAAAAAACCAGGTGGGAGGGGGGGAGGGGGGAGAGCCCAAAATATGCTAACAAGCCAGGAACTGTACACAGCTCAACTAAAATTTGTTATGCGAAAGAGGAGGACTTCTGCTAAAATTTAATCACACATATATATATATTTCCATTTTAGTATTATTGAAACACAGGCCAGTATTTTTACTGAGTGCAACAGTGCCAGTCCACTATGTGGCACAATCTGGTACAGAGATACACTCTGTCATATAAAATGTACCATATAAAATGCACACTCATACCTCATTTTAACAAAGTTGCATCTTACACGAAAATAAGGTCATTATATAAAAAAAATTCAACATAAAGGCACAATCCTAGCACTATATCTATTGCAAGACTACTTTTCATTTACTTCGTTATAACCAATATTTCGTTATATCCGGGTTTATAACATTGAGGTTGTGTACCATGTATAGTACGACATCAGCATGAACACACATGTTTTTTTTTAACAGTGTGAGAATATCACTTTGCCTTGTTTATAAGAACAATGCAACAAAAGTAATTTCATTTATCAAAGTTTCACCACATGAAAACTCTGCATATGAGCCACAGGTATCATGTAGGCTAAAGGACACTACAAGCACAGGTCCAATGTTTATACAAGGGATGTTCAAATGAAAAGGTGCGAAATGCCATAACAACATGGCCATTAACATAGATGCCTATGCCAATATGAGAAAAGGTAGCGACACATCTATGGGTGCGATTGGAGTCTTTTCCATGAATCGTAGCATGCAGGGGTGTCCACATGCAAAGGAAAGAGCAGAGGCCCTTATAAAGAGTGCCACTGAACAGACATGGCAGCGGGCGTGAGGACAGGATGCCGTTCACATTGACAGAGTGGTGATGGAGTAGCAATGCGTAATCAGATTTCTGAGAGTGGAAGGTGTTAAACCAGCCACCACAATTCATTGCTCGAGATTTCCATGTGTCTCGTCCCCCGAAAAAAAAAAAAAACATCTGGAAGGGAAGCACTTCAACTCGGACGAGATACTCAAGGACGCTGTGAAGGACTGGGTCTCATCACGGCCACAGGAATTATAGAACCAAGGAGTCTTTCGCTTCGTTCATCATTGCAATCGTCTTCATTAATACCCACAGTGCCATTTCGTACCTTTTCATTAGAACACGCATAAGCACTGTATAAGGTTGGCTTTTGCTAGTATGCTACAGTGTACCGCTTCAACGATTCCGTTGCTTTCTGCCTCTGCAACAGGGTGACTCTGTCCACAAAGAACAAGTGTGGTCTGCCTAGGCACCCAGCGAGATCATTATGTGCCATGAATATATCGAGACTGGTCGCGTCTCTGCGTGGATTTCGAAGCATACAGCAGACAATAGTGCTGCATACAATGTGCGTGTTGTAGAGGTTATAGGATTGGTCTTCGGAAGATAGCAGTGTAGACGCAGAGAGCATAGCATAGTTCAAAAATCAGCATGCACTTTAATAGGTCCATCACAGGGCTTGAGACATCAAAAAGCATGATGTTTTCACGAGGGTTCAAGGGCTAAATGCTAGAAGACTAGCTTTAACTTAGGCAGCATTCATTCAAAAACTGATTCCCTCACGTGAAGTGCAAGAAAACCTCACCTGCACAAAAGCCACAAGCGGAGGGAAGCATCGCAAGCTCCCCTCCAGGATTCCTGCCAGCGCACCACGCAGTCCTCTGCATAGCTCGTCCTTATGCTTGGAAAGCGGCGACCCTTCTCGCCTTGATTCACACAGCGTAGATGTGACAACGCTGGCTAACAGCATCTGTGCAACTTGCTGGTCTTGCTGGAAACAAACAAACAAAAAAAAACAGGCAGTGTACACAACAAAAACCATCGTGCAGAGTAAGTTAAGTGATTCATGTCACATGACCATGTGACCTGGCCACCCACCCTTTTTCTCCTACTAAAAAACGTGATGAATGTACATTGGAGGAGCACCCTCCAGTCTCATTCGAATGCTCTGTGTTCGTGTTGCCTCTCTGCATGCCTTCCTATCGCTAGGCCTCTTTGTCGGCCGGCCACTGGCTATACCACGCTTCTGCCAATACAACAACGTAGTTGCACAATGGTGAGAGATAGTGAGAGTTTGCCTGCCATGCATAGTCTAGTGTCATTGCTGCAGCGGCAGGCAGCCGACGAAGACCCGTGCGAGACACAGCGGGGCTGGACGCGACAGGCGGCGTTCCTGTGCGGCCCCTCCGCACCGCGTCCGCGACACCACGGAAGCACAAGAGAGAGAACCGTCCACTCCGCAGCCTAAAACAAGACTCGGCTTACCAGCGGCCGTTTATTCCCACAATGCACCATAGACACGTGTACACACGGGATTAGTTAATGCCGATCATGTGTGCCGGTCAATAATGACATCTATAGATAACACACACCACTACGCGATACACAGTGCGCATTCTACTCATGGATGGCGTCACAACACCACACATAGCACTCATGTCGCCCAAAATCTGAATTTTCCTGAAGGTTGACGTAGTCGTGCAATGGTGCGAGATGGCGAGATGCCTGCCATGCAAAGCGCTCATGTCACCCAAGATCTAACTTTTCTTAGAGGTTGCCGTAGTTGCGTAGAGGTACGAGATGGTGAGATGTTACCTGCCATGCGTGTCACTCATGTCACACGAGATCTCATTTTTCCTGGAGGTTGACATAGTTGCACAACAGCGCGAGAGATTGTCTGCCATGTGTGGCACTCATGCCACCCAAAAACTGACCTTTCTTGAAGGTTGACGTTGTTGCTCAACTGTACGAGAGGGGGCAAGAGGATATCTATTATCTGTGGCACTCGTGTCATCTGAGATATGACGCTTTCTGAAGGTTGACGTGGCACTCATGCCACTCAAGGTCCGAGCTTTCCTGGAGATTCATGTAGTTGAACAATAGTACGAGAGATGGTGAGAGGTTGGCTGCCATGTGTGGAACTTAAGTTACCCCAGATTGAAAGTTTCTTGGAGGCTGACGTAGTTGCACAATAGGGCATGGCGCTCATGTCACCTGAAATGTGAGTTTCCCAAGAAGTTGCCATAGTTGCACAATAGGGCATGGCGCTCATGTCACCTGAAATGTGAGTTTCCCAAGAAGTTGCCGTAGTTGTGGAACAGTGCGAGACAATGAGAAGTCATCTGCCTTGCATGGCACTCATGTCACCAGATATCTGATGATTGACATAGTTGACATGGAGGTTGACATAGCTGTGCAACAGTGTGAGAGCTGGGGAGAGGTGCTCCGGTCCCAGGACCAACTGATGGCATAGTTCCTCATGAGAAAGGGGAAGCTGATTCATATTTTCTGGCTTGTGATCGACACTACGTGCTCACCAGGGAGTTGTGCCAGACTGTCTCGCGGATGCCTTTCCGTTTTGACAAATGTGCCTCCCTTAGTGAAACTGACTTGAGGCCGGGGTGAATGTAACTCGCACGATTTCCTAGCATGGTGAGTTGAACTTCCTTCGTTTGAAAGTGCACTCTATCGACACATTAGTTGGATGTACAATATGGAGAGCTAGTTTTCCGCATTGGTTTAATAAAAGATGTCCTTACATACACTAACACTACAGCACGCTGTATCCTTTGTTCGCTGAATGCTTGAGGTTCCATATAGAAAGCTAAAAAGTAATATAAAACCTAAGGGTTTTCTTTCTCCATCCACATAACATAAAAATATTCTTCACTCTGCTGAGTGCATGCCCTAGCGAAGCCCCAGAGGTGGTAAACTGGTTTCTGCTACATCAAGACTAAAACGGTTCTTTTCCAATAACTTCTTACATTGGGCATCACTAACTTATGATTTTTTTTCTATATTTCAAAGTTTACAACGTTGGCCAGGTTTCGGGAAACGTCTCGCTTGTATTGAGAAGGTAAAAACAGCTGATGTTTAATGCAAAATGAACATAAAATACAAAAATGATGCTGTCATCTATCGACGTCCTTAGACGTCACATAAGGCAGTTACCCTGAGCTGGAGTAATTGTTGTAGATAAACCGCAAAGCTTGAATACTAATAAAGTGTTTCTTCTAATCGTAGAAAACCCAGTACATGGCTCCTGCGTTTTTTTGCAGGTCGAACACACCCAAATTAACACGTGCGTTCTTATTGTTTACCTGGGCCAAAGCTTGCATGGGAGCAATCAAGGCCGCATGCGTGATCTGGATGTCCGGAAAATCGCCCATGCGGTATCGCCGGTACAAGGTCACCTCTGCCTCCCGGCGAGCACGCTGTTCTGTCCTGAGTTTCTGCCAAATAAAAAAAGGTAGGGGGTGTAAATATAACTTTTATAATTTATTTTATTTCCATCTTTTTCAGTTTTTCGGTCAAGGACAAGATGTTGATTTTTCTCTCACAACCAATGACGCCGACACCAACATCGATGCCGCAATTTCTGCCAAACGAGCTCCTCAACGCTATCCCGTTAAAAATGTTCGCTATACATGGACACAGTTTGAATGGGTAGCACAAGCAAATTGGCAATAAGGCACTGTGTACACCATGCTTCCAGGAATGCCACACTTTGAAATACTATTGAATGTCTTGCAGTTCTGTGTAATACTGACCCCCAAAAAACTGTTCCTTATTTTTTTTACAATTTGTTCCCAACTTTACACAATCACTACATAAAGAAAATGCAAACTTTATTGCACCACCTGGAAGAACAATTCTTCTTGGAATTTGACACTCGGACGGTTAAGAATACAACAATGTCTTCAATAAACTTCAGTCCAATGCACAAGTTGCCGATTACATTTTTTCCCTCTCATCAGGAACCTGTAATATGAAAGCTAAGTACTGCTATATATTGGCACCTGGTGTTCTGTGCCAGTGAACAGTGGGTCAGTTCTGTGCCGGTGAATGAGGAAGACGAAGACGAGCAACCGGTGCCAGCGGAGACATCCTTCTTTTTCTCTGAGATTTTGGACAGTCGCGTCTCTTTGTACGTTCGTTCGAGCTCTTAGCGCGTGACAACTGGTGGAGGTGCTGGGTACCCTATGCACCGAACCCCTTCCAGTACAAGAAGCTCCAGCCCCATACCGGTGGTTACGCCTGTTCACCGTGCTAGCCGCAGGATCCGTGGACTGGACCCTGAGTTCGGGCTTCTCTCAGAAGAGATGACGGCCCCAACTATTCCAGGCAGCGCCGTCCCAAGCGGCGCCAACACAGCCGGTATGGAAGGCGCAACGCCATTGCAATATACACTGTTCAAACCACGAACGCCGAGTCCCTTTCATGGCGCTGTCCATGAGGATATTGAAGATTGGCTAGTCCACTATGACTTCGTTGCCGCTCAAAACATGTGGGATGACACAGACAAGCTCCGACATGTCTACTTCAGTATGAATGACGGGGCACGTGTTTGGTACGAAAACCGGGCAGGTGTGTTCACGTCATGGGTGGACTTCAAACGCCGGCTTCTCGAAACGTATGCAAGTCCCGATCGCCGAGAGCGAGCTGAACGTGAACTCCGGTGCCGTATGCGAATGCCAAATGAAGGCATAGCAATGTATGTTGAGGACATCACGCGTCTTTTTCGACGAGCCGACCCTCACATGCCGGAAGAGAAGAAGGTGCAATACCTGATGCGTGGAGTGAAGGAGCAGTTGTTCGGTGGTCTTGTACACAGCCCCCCCCCCCAAGACTACGTCAGAGTTTCTTGCTAAAGCCGTCCTGATTGAAAGCACGTTTTGGCAACGGACCCAGACGTACGAGCGACAAGTGAACTTTGCTTCAGCAACGGACTACATGGGTGGTTTTGGGGCCCACGTCGACTTCTTCCGAGAGCTCATACGCTCTGTAATTCGCGAAGAACTGCAGAAGTTATTTGTACCCTCGGCGGCCACTGTCAGTTCTTTGTCCGGCATCGTCCGAGATGAAGTTCAGCAGGCACTACGAGAACCATCCTGTCAGACAGAGCCGCGGCCGCTAAATGACTTCTCTCGCATGTTGTATGCGCAAACTCTGCTCCAGCCAGCACCACCTTTGCCTCCGCTTCCCACCGCGGCCCCTGCCGTGCTTTCGGCAGATCAAACTCTGCGCCCACCTGCACCACATTTCTGTCCGCCTTATACCACAGCCCCAGCCATGCTTCAGGCAGTCCAAGCGGGCCCGTACCTCAGTGACCGCCGACCAATTCCGCCAAAATGGGACGTGTGGCGGGCCGCCGATCGACGTCCCCTTTGCTATCACTGTGGTGAACCTGGGCACATCTACCGACAGTGCACTTATCGAGAGCTGGGACTTCGTGGTTTTTCGGCCAACTCCCCACCTCCTAGGTTCGGCCAGCGGCCTCCGGAAATCGCTGACTACGTTGCTCAGCAGCGCGGATCGACATCTCAGCACCACTCACGCTCTCCATCACTGCGGCGGTTCCCGCCGAATAATCACACCTATGCGGGCATGGCGCAGGGCCGGTCACCTAGCCCGCGTTGGGAAAACTAGCCTCAGCGACCTTCAGGGGCAAGGCCGCTCAGACTGGCCATGCGTAAGACCCCCTATCGACGCGGACTGAAGATACCGACGATACATCGACAACGACACCACCGGCTGATTGCGGAAGAGTTTCCTTAGATATTCCTGTTCTGCTAGATGGTCACGAAGTCAGCGCCTTAGTGGACACTGGTGCGGACTATTCTATAATTAGCGAAAAGCTGGCCGCCTTTCTCAAGAAAGTAACGACGCCTTAGAACCGAACGCCGATTCGTACAGCTGGCGGGCACATCGTCACGCCACTCGGTATGTGCACGGCAAGACTGCAAGTCCGCGGTTGTACACTTGTTGCCAGTTTGAGTGTTCTCCAGCAGTGTTCTCGAGACCTGATCATTGGCATGGATTTTCTCAGGGAGCATGGTGCTATAATTGACATTCGAAGACGTCTAGTCACTTTTGCGACCACAAAAGCCACAACAGTTTACGCCGACCGCAGCCACTCCCGAGTGTCTCTTCACGTCGTCGACGACGCTGTCACGTTACCACCCCGTGCAACTGTTGTGGTTCAGGTGACGTGGGACAAAGTGATGCACGGTGAAGCAGTCGTAGAAAGCAATCACTCGCTTTTGCTGTCTCAGGGTGTCTGCGTAGCGAGAAGCCTTGTCGACCTTCGTGATGATCACTGCAACGTTTTTGTCACAAACTTCAGCTACGAGCACCGGCACCTTTTTCCTGGAACTGTCATCGCCTACGCCGACCCAGTCGCCAATGTCACAGAGTGTTTTGCTTCCGAGGCCATCGGCACTGCTGAAGCGCTTTTCCGCAGCGTCGACATCAATCCAACGCTTTCTGAAGCTAACAAGCAGCGTTTGAGCGAGCTGTTGCTGGAGTTCCACACATGCTTTGCATGTTCTTCAAAGATACGTCAAACACCGATAACGAAACACCGTATTATCACCTACGACGACGCGCATCCCATACGGCAGCAGCCTTACCGTGTTTCGCCAACTGAACGGCACGCGATTCAAGCGCAAGTTAAGGAAATGCTTCAGGATGGCGTGATACAGCCTTCAAGCAGCCCTTAGTCATCACCAGTCGTTCTTGTGAAAAAGAAAGATGGCACGCTTCGCTTTTGTGTCGACTACAGAAAGTTGAACAATGTCACAAAGAAAGACGTGTACCCGTTCCCCAGAGTCGATGATTCTCTGGACAAGCTGCGACGCGCGAAGTATTTTTCGTCCGTTGACTTGAAGAGCAGTTATTGACAAATAGAAATCGATGAACGTGACCGGGAAAAGACCGCTTTTGTAACGCCGGATGGCCTTTATGAATTCAAAGTGCTCCCTTTCGGCCTTTGTTTTGCTCCAGCCACATTCCAGCGAATGATGGACACCGTCCTGGCAGACCTCAAGTGGAAAAGCTGTCTCGTCTACCTCGATGATGTCGTTGTGTTTTCAGAAACGTTTGACGAGCATCTTCGTCACCTTCGGAATGTGCTCGAAGCCATTAGATCGGCCGATCTCACACTCAAGCCTAAGAAATGTCATTTCGGCTACGAAGAATTAAAGTTTCTTGGTCATGTCGTGAGCGCCGTTGGTGTTCGGCCTGATCCTGACAAAATTGCTGCCCTTACCGCTTTTCCACCTCCAACTGACAAGAAAAGTCTTCGACGATTTCTGGGTCTGTGCGCTTATTACCGGCGCTTTATTGAAAATTTCTCTAACATTGCGGAGCCACTATTACGCCTCACGCGTGATGACACATCATTTGTCTGGGCTGACGAACAGCAGACTGCCTTTGCGGAACCACAGCACCGGCTCTCTTCCCCTCCCGTGCTCGGCCACTTCGATGAAGATGCTGACACTGAAGTACGCACTGATGCCAGCAATATTGGTCTTGGAGCTATTTTGGTACAAAGACAAGATGGCATTGAACGGGTGATAGCCTACGCAAGTCGCACACTATCTCGCGCAGAATCTAACTATTCCACATCAGAGAAAGAATGTCTCACGGTCATTTGGGCAATTACAAAGTTTAGGCCATATCTCTATGGAAGACCACTCAAAGTGCTGACTGACCATCATGCTTTGTGCTGGTTGACCAATCTACGAGACCCTTCAGGAAGATTAGCACGATGGAGTCGGCGCCTTCAGGAATTTGATGTCACCATCGTGTACAAGTCAGGCAAAAAGCACGAAGACGCCGACACGCTATCACGAGCACCTCTTCAATCCGCCAGTACTAGCGCAGAAGAGGACGGCGCCTTCGTGGCAACTGTCAGCGGACCTGATCTGATGTCGCATCAACGAAATGATGCCAATCTAAGAATGATTATAGATCATTTAGAAGGTGGCACTGCGCCCATTCCTCGTCCGATGTTGCGAACGTTGCCATCATTTTGCCTACGAAATGGCGTCTTATACAAAAGGAACGCCGGTGCTGGTGACAGATCTCATCTTCTCGTCGTGCCTGAAGCCCTCCGCGATGACGTCTTATTAGCTTGCCACGACGAGCGCACATCTAGCCATCTGGGCTACTCGAGAACTATGGATCGGGTGCGACAACTCTACTACTGGCCTAAAATGTCTGCCTGTGTCAAACGCTACGTGAAGGGATGCCGTGAATGCCAGGGTCGCAAGACACCACATTTAAAGCCTGCAGGCCATCTACAACCGATCGATCCACCACGTACACCGTTTGAACAAGTTGGGATGGACCTCCTAGGCCCGTTTCCTTTGTCTTCTTCTGGCAACAAATGGATTATTGTCGCAACCGATTATTTGAAGCGTTACGCTGAGACGAAGGCGTTGCCACGAGAGACCGCATCTGAAGTTGCCACTTTTTTTATGCATCAAATTGTGCTATGGCATGGCGTCCCGTCACATGTCATCACTGATCGAGGGACGCCATTCACTGCGAAACTCTTGGATGATATCTTCAGGTTGAGTTACACAACCCATCGAAAGACCGCTGCGTATCACCCTCAGAGTAATGGTTTAACAGAAAGGCTAAACAAAACGCTAGCTGACATGATCTCTATGTACGTGGATGTGCAGCAGAAAACGTGGGACGACATCCTGCCGTACGTAACATTTGCGTATAACACTGCAACGCAGGAAACTACACGCTTCACACCATTCCGGCTCGTTCATGGTCGAGATGTTAGAACTATGCTGGACGCCATGATTCCATATAAGGACATCGACAAGCTCGACCAATTAGCCCCCGACATCAATGAGTACATTCAGCGCGCTGAGGAAGCACGTCAACTGGCCCGTGTGCACATCCGAACTCAACAGTACGCAGATGTACGGCGGTACAACACCCACCATCGAGAAGTTAATTATGAACCTGGCGACCAAGTTTGGGTTTGGACACCCATTAGGCGGCGAGGTCTCAGTGAGAAACTCTTGAGGAAGTACTTTGGACCTTGCAAAGTACTCAGACGTGTGAGCGACATGAACTACGAAGTGGTTCCAGACGTAGGCTCGCCATCATCCCAGCGCAGGTTACCACGCCCAGAGACTGTACACGTAGTCCGCCTAAAACCATACTTTACGCGGTGATGCGAATTTTCTTCTTGTGCCAGTGAACTCTTCATGTGAACAGTGAATGCCGTTTATTTCCGATTGCCGGGCCCAGGACGCATTTTCTCTCGTGCACTAATTTGTTTAATGTTTCTTTATGTTACCTATTTCGACCCACTGCTGTGCACACTTTTGTTTGAGCATCGGGTGGATGCTGTCTTGGGAGGAGGAGTAATGCCACCTGGTGTTCTGTGCCAGTGAACAGTGAGTCAGTTCTGTGCCGGTGAACGAGGAAGACGAAGACGAGCAACCTGTGCCAGCAGAGACGTCCTTCTTTGTCTCTGAGATTTTGGACAGTCCCGTCCCTTTGTACATTCGTTCGAGCTCTTAGCGCGTGACAATATTCGTCAAATCGAGACAGTGCACACACTTACATGCAAGCACATACATGCATGGCTGCGCACCCACCCACAGAGAGGCAGTTCTCACCCTGCGAGTTTCATTACGGCGAACTTCCCTGCGCATGTGCTGAAGTCGGGTCTGCTCGTCGTCTCGCAAGAACCGCTTCCTGAGATACCGTAGGCTTTCAGCTGCATGAACACAAGAATTTCATCGCATTGCAAGATTTAAAAGCAGAGATTTCTCGGGGTTTTTATTACATAGCGCATTAGACCTGCACACAGTTGCATGGCGTACCACAAAAAAAAGTACTATAACACAAAGCCTCTTTGTCACATGTTTTTTATAAGCCTATATATTTAACAAATGCTGACAACTGGCCAGAAACATTTGAGACTCACTTTGTTACAGAGCAGACTTGGGATCATTTATATCCTCGTAACTAAAACTTTCAGTTACTTAAAAAAAAACTTGATATGTTGGTTTGGCCAGCTGTGCTTCAATGGCATTTCAAAGCAGCTTCATTCGAGCCGCCACTCTACAGCATAAACATGGTTAATTTATACCTCAGAAAAGCATCTGCTGACTTCGTTGCTTCCACTGAAAATTCGCGTTCTTATGGCCCTAACAGTGCAGGTAAAGCTGATTACACGCCTTACAAAGCAGCCAACAAAACTGAACGATTGCCCCACAAGCCTGTGCACCTAAAATTTAGGTCGTGACGGCTTGGTGGCAGTGCATTTCTGGCAACTGCTCCCCCATTTCCAGGAACCATTACCCCATTCTCACCACTTTAGGCTTAGCAGGGTTGGCCAAACAAGCAGCTGATCTCACTAATAGTGACAAAAGGTGTCTGATACTTTGTCATCAGCTTAAAAAGACACAACAGAATGGGTGGCTTCCTCATTCATTTATTGCTGTCAGCACAGTGGGCAAACAGCAAGTGTGAGTTTAAATCAAAGCGGGCGGCTGCATCTGCATCACTGCCACCATGTTGACTTGTAATCACAGTTGCCGGCAGTTCTTGATACAACGATTTAAGACGTACGACGATTATGTACAGTAAAATAAACATATCACATATCGAAAAGGCGTAACAAGTGCCAATGTTTCAACCCTGCTTATTGCAAGGTAAGTATATTTAGAAATACAGTTTGCTTTAAAAGCGTGTGGCTCGCTTTTGCCTTGTAGATTTGGTAGTGCTTCACGGTAGTGGTGAACTAGAGTATAGATGCCATATTTAACAGTGAGGGCTGTAATATTGTGCTAAAGAAGACAAAGTGACAAACAAAGATGAGCGCTCTTGCTGTCTGTAACTTTGTTCGTAGTCTTTGATGTATGCTTAGTGCTGCAGTTCTCAAGAAAATAGATTACATACCAACTACACTCGCGCCTCATTATTACAAAGTTGCATCTCACGCGAAAATAATTTTGTTATAATCGAAAATTCATTATAAAGGTTTACTCCTAACACTACTTCTATTGTCGGACATGTTTTCATCTACTTCATTATAACCAATATTTCGTTATGTTCAGGTTTGTTATGTCAAGGTATGAGCGCAGTCCTATTCGCCACTTTCATTCTCACCTTTGCCGATAGTAGAGCCTCCGTGCTTAGGGTCTGCCACTTTGTCGGGAGCCGGTTGCAAGATTGTCGCAGATCGTGGCTGCTTCCTGTCTTCGATGGGCAGGGTAGGCTCGTGGGTGCTTTGTGTGAGCCAGTTGTAAGTGTTCGACTCTGGAACGCAGGTGCGCATGGAATGTGAAGATTGCGTAGCACAAAGCAGCAATAGGTAAAAACCACATATATTTAGTAAGTCTGAGAATAAGGAAATGACACTACAGTAAAAACTTGTTAACTTGACTTGTTTATTTGGGAAATTGAACAGTTAGAATGTGTTCCCTGGTACTGGTCAGCATATGCATTGTTTAATGGCACCAAACTATTGTTAAGTCAGTCCCATTTGGCTGCAAGCCTGTTAATTTGGACGATCCTTGGAGTATATAGCAGTATACCCACCTCGTGCACGCACGACCGCCTATCTAAATTCATTTCCTGTTCTGACAGCCATCGAATGGAACAGCCTTCCTGAAAGTGTCGTCCCCAAAACAAACCCGACTCAGTTCAAAGCTGCCGTTGAAAAAATTCTGTACTGATTATTTTTGTGTCATGTATGCGATTATCCTTAGTGGTGTTATCTGCTTCGCTGGTTGGCATTGTATGCTTTTTATGCTTCGTTGGTATGCTTCGTTGGTTGGCATTGTATGCTTTTTATTAACAGAGCGTGCTTGATACCCTTTCGTGATACGCTCGTGCAGTTTTTGTTTTCTTTTTTTGTGTTTGTTGATCAGTTGTGTAATTTTCGTGCTTCAACACCCTTCATGTAAAACCCCACTCATTGGGGTCTTTGAGGTACCTGTAAATAAATAAATAAATAAGTATGCCAAGGTAAACTGCCACAATGAAGTGACAAAGGCATTTGCAGACAGCCAACGCTAGGCAGCGCTGTCCCATTGTCTCCATCAGCTAGCTTTTGTCCACAAGTGGACCTGGTATTCAGCAGCTTTGTTTTAAATTGATGCAATGCATGTGCAATGTCACAAACCCAAACATGGCAGAAGCTGTTCAAAATGAAGAGCTTTTAATCGCGGTCAGTATGCTTGCATAAAATCAGTTATTTTACCAGTGAAAAAAATTACTGCCGCTCGTTCAGAACTGCGAAAGAAGGTGGTGGTGGTGGTATGTAATAAGGAGTCGTGCAGAGCAAGTTTGGAGCTTATTAAACACAGGAGTCTGGTGTGCTGTGGTCGTATGGAGAATGAAGATGCAGAATGACAAAAACTGTGGCTTTAGGCTGCTCTTATGCAAAATAAGTATAGGATTTGCATATTCTTCAAGAAAATGAAAGTGTGTTGATGTGACAGACATTCTATTGTCTTCTCGAAACTAATAATACTACGGCGTTCGGCTAATTCGGACAGTTTTTCCGGTCCTGCCAAATCTGAATTAACGACCTTTTGCTCTACTAGAATATTCAAACAGCAGGGAAGTCAATAGAAAGTGTGAAGAAGAAGATGTGCCTGCAGCAAGCAGCATCGCCAACGCCCGTCTCTCTCGGCTCGTGCTTCGGTTCGTTGCAGTGCCGATTGCTGGACGGTTTTTCACGCTGTCTCGTCCCTGTCCTTAACGGCTAATAAATCTCTTCACATTTGGTGGAGGGTGCTGTTCACCACCGTCGCTACATCCTGGAGCTGCGAAGCCGCACGCAACCGCCCGTCATGACTGACAACGCCACTCCATCGGCGCTTTCACCCCAGTTCAACTTCCCTGGCCATCCTAGGCTACGGGACCCGAAGGTCTTCAGCGGTGCGGATGGGACCGACGTCGAAGACTGGCTCGAGCACTACGAGCTGGTGAGCGCCAATAATAAGTGGAATGAAGCCGACAAGCTGGGCCACGTCACATTTTATCTCACTGGCATTGCAGAATTGTGGTTTAACAACCACAAACAATATCCCCACATAGAGTGTCTTCAAGACGTCATGTGCTGAAGTGTTCAGTCGGCCGGCTGTCCGCAAGCAGCAGGAAGAACAGCGCTTGCGCGTCCACTCTCAGCAGACTGGCGAAAGCTTGTGGGAATTGAGGCTAGCCCGCTGCCTTTGCGCGGACTTTGCCGCCTTTTCTGTCGTCCTCATGTCCCAATATGTCTCCCCTCCTCTGCTGTCTGCTACGCTGGGAGAGCGGAGTGACGTTTAACCCCCTCACCCGGTAGCGGATGTTGACTGTGGCGCTGCGCGCGGAGTCTCCCGAGAGGTTTTCACGCGCTGCGTCGGGAGCAGGCAGATACTCTCCGGGACAGCAGATGGTGAGCTATGCAATCTTTTCCATCCGTAGACTCCCGTCACTCGGGGCTCGTCGGACTTCGCTGATGGCGCCTCGCGCCCGAGGCGAACGCTCACCTTTTGTTGCCCCACTGCGTACGCTCGACCGAAGGGTGGTACGGTGTCCTAGTGCGTGGCCTAGCTACGCCGACCCGTCTCCCTCCGAAGCCAACGCGAGCGCCTTTGCCCTCGCTCGAGCAACCGCGCCTTGGTCCCGGTGTCTTCTCCATGGTTCACCTGTATCCCGGAGACGTGCTCGTGGCACCCTGTGTAGTACGTCTATGCCCGTGGCGTGGATAAGCCTATTTGCTTTCCCGCCGCGCCTTTGCAACGGGCTGTACTGCGTTTGGTGTTGCCACAGTCAATAAAATGTTGCGACCTACAGCAATATCGTGTTCCCGCCACGGCGACGGTTAACGCGAGCCCTGCGGCTCGCTAAGATCGGACTCACGCTAGTGGCCGTACTCCATCGGGATACGTGTCACTACAAGCTTTACCTGTTACATTGAGAACGTCGTCGACCTTTGTCGAAGTGCGAATGACACCATGCCCGAATCTAACAAGGTAACACATCCTGAAGGGCATCGACGACAGCGCATTTCAAATGCTCTTGGCTAGGAATCCGAGCACAGTTTCCGAAGTCGCCAGCTTGTGTCAGAGCTACGACGAGTTGAAGAAGCAACGCACTCTGACTCGGCAGCCTTCGCGTGGTGGTGAGTCACTGTCCAGTTTTGACACCCTGCCTGACAATTCACCATTGCTTCAGCAAGTCTGAGCCTTCGTCCGAGAGGAAGTCGCCCGCCAACTTTCCCTAGTGCCCTTCACTCACGAGATGACCACCTGTCTACCTGCCCTGCTTCGCACTGCTATTTCGGGAGAGGTTGCCCAAGCTGCTCCCCTTGCGCACCACTTGCCACCTCTATCTAACCGTGTTCCCTGCCAGCGTGTCGCGCAGCCAGTAGGCGCTCCTGTCGCCTATCCGCCAGCCTTGCAGCCTGTGGCCGCGCCCCTGACGTATGCAGCGCAGCCTGTGGCTCCTCCTGTCGCCTGTTCGCAAGAGATGCAGCCTGTAGCAGCGCCGTTCACATATGCAGACACTGTGCGTAGGCTTCCGCAACCACCCTACACCTCGCGCTCAGAGCCCGCCCGATAACCGACCTATATGCTACGCCTGTTTCACTCCCGGACACGTTGCCCCCTACTGCCGCCGTCGACCTCAGACATTCGGCGACTATGCCCGATCGTCGCAACCCGGCAGCCAACCCTTCGCCCAATACGGGCCGGTCTCGTCACCTCGCTATGCGCCTCCTAACGACCTCGTCTTCGTGACACCGCGCGCATCCTCTCCTCGTCGGCGATTGCCCTCCCCCATGTGTCGCCGGCCCGGACCCTCTGACCGGAAAAACTAAGCACCGCCGTTCAAGAGGCAAGAACTGCGCCATTTTCTAACTGCCTAAGCCCTCGCCCCTCTCCTGCCAACGTGGTCGCAGTAACTGTTGAAGGTTATTGTACTTTTGCCTTTGTAAACACCGGCACCGCTGTTTGTGTTATTGCCGCTAATGTCTGCCGTTTATTACGTAAAACCATGACGCCGCTTTCGGGACTGTCGCTCCACACCGCAAGCGCACAGCAAGTAACGCCTCTCACAGCATGCACTGCAAGAGTGTCCATCAAAGGCATTCTTTACATCGTCGAGTTTATTGTCCTCGCTGTCTGTTCGCATGACGTCATCCTTGGGTGGCATTTCCTATCCCGCCATAATGTCGTCATCGACTGCGCACGCGTTGAAATTAGTTTTTATTTTTTGGGATCTCCCATTACTTGACGCTCTTCATCAGCTGCAGAAGTTGTTCGTGCATAAAGATATCGATATTCCACCTGAAAATTTCGCACTTGTTGTTGTTTCATGCAGCGCCTACACTGACGCTACAGTCTTTTTTATGCCTTCCGATATCTTCACGAGTTGTCGAGCCCTGCCGCTGCCTTTCGCAATGATTGACCTTGCCGCCGGAAGAAGCAATATGTTCATACTCAATCCGCTTTCCACACCTGTCACTTTGCTTGCAGGGAAATGTCTTGGCCGCGTGCAGGATCTCGACCCTTCGTCTTTGGTTGATGTTCCGGATGACTACTGCGACCACCCAAAATCACTGTCGGCACTCCAGGAGTCGTCCAAGGATACGTTTTCCAGCGCCATCGCCGACACCCTCACTCCCACCGAACAAGCCGACCTGCTTGATCTTCTGCATGAGTTCTGGAATTCTTTCAATGTGTCGCAACCTCAACTAGGCCGCACGTCGCAAGTCAAACATCATGTTTACACCGGCCTACATCAGCCACTGCGTCAAAGACCATACCGTGTCTCCACTGAAGAGCGCCGCGTCATCAACGATCAAGTCGAAGATATGCTCCGTAGAGACGTCATTCGACCATCTCACAGTCCCTGGGCGTCTCCTGTCATCCTAGTGCGTAATAAAGACGGATATATCCGATTTTGCATGGACTCTCGTCGTTTCAGTAAGATAACCCACATTGACGTATATCCTTTGCCGCGCATTGATGGCGCCATTGACACCCTACACAGAGAGGAATTCTTCTTGTCGCTAGATTTGCGGTCTGGCTACTGGCAAGTTCCAATGGCTGAAACCGATCGCCCAAAAACTGCATTTATTACACCTGACGGACTATACGAGTTTAACGCTTTGCCCTTTGGGGTTTGTAACGCGCCTGCCACGTTTGAACGACTTATGGATAATACGCTACGTGGCCTCAAGTGAAATATGTGCCCCGGATACTTCGACGATGTCGTGGTTTTCTCGCACAACTTTCCTACGCACCTCTTTCACCTCAGGCATGTTTTGACTTGTCTGACCAACACTGGCCAGCAGCTTAACCTGAAAAAATGCCGCTTTGCTGCACGCGAGCTCGTCATCCTAGGCCACATCGTGTCCAAGCATGGCGTATTACTTGACCCAGCAAAACTTCGAGCAGTGGCAGAATTTCCCAAGCTGACGACCATGAAGGAACTTCGTAGTTTTGTAGGCCTATGCTCTTATTTCCGGCACTTTGTTCGCAATTTTGCATCCATCATGTCACCATTAACCCAGCTTCTTCGTGGTGACGTGAACCTCTCCTCCTGGTCTCCTGCATGTGACGTTGCCTTCACTACTCTGCGCCGTATGCTCACCTCGCCACCTATTCTTCGCCTCTTCGGCCCGACGGCTCCTACTGAAGTGCACACAGACGCCAGCAGTGTCGGGCTAGACTCTGTCCTCGCTCAACGAAAGCTTGGCTATTCAGAATATGTTATAGCCTACGCTAGCAGCACTCTGACGAAAGCCGAAACTAATTACAGCGTGACAGAAAAAGAGTGTTTGGTTCTGGTGTGGGCGCTTGGAAAGTTCCGGCCGTACTTGTACGACCGCCCGTTCGATTTACTAACTGATCACCACGCGCTTTGCTGGCTCTCCACGCTGAAAGACCCTTCTGGCTGCCTTGCGCGATGGGCACTCCACATCCAGGAGTACGACATTCGCGTCGTATACCGCTGCGGACGCAAACACTCAGACGCTGACGCCCTGTCCCGCTCACCTTTGCCACCAGATCCGACGTGCGGAAAAACTTGCTTACAAACCTTGTCATCACTAAATACAACGTGGCCACGCCTGAGTGTTCAAAACATATAAACCCTTTTGCCATCGCTATTACTGGCGCGGAATGTCCAATTTTGCACGCAAATTTGTGCAGTACTGTCCCGACTCCCAGCGATGCAAATCAGCACCGTTACGTGCAACTGGCGAATTGCAGCCACTTCCATGCCCTGCCAAGCCATTTGATCTTGTTGGCGTTGACCTCTACGGCCCCCTTCCATTGACACCAGATGGCAATCGGTGGGTTACAGTGGTGGTCGACCATTTGACACGCTACGCCGAAACAGCCGCTTTGCCGAGCGCTACCGCTCAGGATGTCGCCTCTTTCATTTTACGTCGCTTTATCCTTTGACATGGCACACCTCGAGAGCTCCTTAGTGACAGAGGCCGCGCTTTACTCTCTGAGGTCGTCGAAGCTCTGCTTTCGGAATGCCACGTCATTCATCGTAAAACGACAGCATAACACCCGCAGACTAACAGGCTAACGGAACGGTTTAACCGCACGCTGGATGATATGTCTCAATGTACGTGGCATCTGATCATAGCAACTGGGACCGTGTTCTCCCATACGTCACATTCGCATATAATACTGCAATACAACACAACCATGGGATTTTCACCTTTCTTCCTTCTTTACAGACGCGACCCTTCCCATACAATCGATACTCTACTTCCCTACCGTCCTGATGCTTCCGAGTGCCCACCTGTCTCCGATGCTTCTCGACAAGCCGAAGAGTGCCGCCAGCTCGCCCGTGCGTTCACCTCAAAAGAGCAGCAACGCCAGAAAGAACACCGTAGCACCGCCCTTTCAGATACCAGCTATGCCCCAGGGTCTCTTGTGTGGCTCGCCATTCCACACCAAACACCGGGACTCTCATCGAAACTTTTCCGCCGGTACGAGGGGCCTTACACCGTTTTAGAGAAAACCTCTCCGGTTAATTACCTAATTGAGCCAGTTTCCCGATTGGATGACATGCGCCGGCGTGCACGTGATATCGTCCATGTTTCCCGCCTGAAACCGTATCATGAGCCTCTCCCTGAAACTTTTTAGGTTGCCAGGATGGCTCCTTTTTCAGCGGGGGTGATTGTGAAGAAGAAGATGTGCCTACAGCAAACAGCATTGCCAACACCCGTCTCTCTCGGCTCGTGCTTCGGTTCGTTGCTGTGCCAATCGCTGGACGGTTCTTCACGCTGTCTCGTCGCTGTCCTTAACGGCTAATAAATCTCTTCACAGAAAGCAATATTTACCATTCACCCAGTCGATCTACAATAAATAACTCCCCAGCAATTTTCAGATATCTCTACCCTCCGACAGACAGCAAGATGCTATTGCGCTGGCAAATCTCGTCCTCCCACCATCTATAATTGACATGTGTTATGTAATTAAGAAGACCCCAGTTATCTACCTTACCAATCTAATCATACCCTCCTTGTACATAATATTATATGTTATGTTGAAACATTAACAAAACTAAATGTGAAGCAGTTACTACAATATTAATCTTGGATTCAATGTCAGACCCTCCATTTAGGCCCATAGCGAGGAATTATGTTCAAGTGGGGGTGAAAATGTTGAAGGCCTTGAGCACCTGTTTTTATTATTTGTCCATCTGAATTTCAGAAAGCCCCCCCCCCCCCCCCCCCTATACCTCCCACAAGCTTTAGATCTGCCTTCATGAATATACACGTGAAAGGCAGTGAAAATTTGACACGCAGTGAAAATTTGACACGCATCAGAAGTCAGGGGCTTCAGATTTTAAGCTTCGAGGCACACACACGAAGGTTGCCTACAATAATAAGCAAGCCGAGCAGTAGCACGAGAGCTTACCCCCCGAAGCACCCGTCTGCTGCGTTGGTGTGAACTGCAGTGTTGCTTGCGTGGCCCTCAGCCTCTGAGACGTGACCCCGTCGGTGGTGGAGGACTGTGTAGACGTTGACTGTGTCTGACTAAATGACAGGGTCTCGGCAAACAGGGGCGTCATCGCCGCATGCCGCCTTCGCCAGGACCCCGTCACCGCATAGTCCTGCACGTGACGTGAGCAAGACGGAGGGCTAGTTGGACCGCCCTGAAGGGGCCAGCCCTGCAACACTTTTCGAATGCAGTCAGAGAATGCTGCTGATTGGTAACCAAGGCTCCTGAAAACATGCGAGGCACACATCACAACATAGCACGCAGCATGGAATTTAGAAATGCGTTATATATGCCCAAAAAATCACACGGACATAGCCATTGGCAGATTTGAGTGCTGTGAGCTGCATTGTTATCCCAGTGAACTCTACAATTTAGACTCGTGATGACACTTAAAGTGAGCAGCTTTTTCGGCAAAAAGTGGCAAAGATTGCACTAAGCAGCGCAAAGCTTGAAACAGCTAAACTGAACGACTCTGACGACTAGGGCTTGTGAGTATCCACCAAAACGGCTATTTGGTTAAGCCAGAGAAAAGTAAATCTGGCCTTAAAAGCTGGTTATCCAGTTATCCAGATTTAAAGAAATGACAACTCTGCTTATCCGGTTTGCATGAACGTGCATCCGGTTATTCAAATATTCGAAAACGAATATTTAGTCTCGCTACGGGCAATTCGAAATCGAAGTGCAATTGGATACGTACTGACACAACGTGTGCAGCTTGTTGATTCATTACTAACGTAATCACTAATGGCCCATGCAAAGACTTCCCGTTTCTCAACTGTGCATGCAGTTTCGCACCCAGATCACCTTTCAAGAGGCATTACCACTAGTGACCCACGTAATACTCCTACATTAAGACAAATGAACAATATGAGAAGCTCAATACAAGCACATATCGAACATGCACAAATCATTGCAATGTTTTCTACAAACAGGAGAGTCCAAGAAAACGAATATTTATGTTAGCATTGCAAAATAAAAATCCAGTTATTCGATTATCTGAATATCACGGTATTGTTAACCAAATAACTAACCGAATATTCGATCAATCCGGTTATCCGGTTTTCAAAATCGAATAATCGATCAATTGAATAACCGGATGACCAGTTTTGCCACAAAATCGGTTTAATGTTGATGCCCTACCGACAACTGATCTGGTTGCTTCTATATTGTTTCTAGGCCTTGGCTAGGTGATGCTAGGCAGTTTCTACATTGATTCTCGGCGCGGAGAGGTTCGAATGAAACCGCAGACAGTCACAAACACGACATAAATGCCCTAACTACAGAGACAGAAACTCGCGCTGAAACGAAGCATTCGCACTCCTTTTAGATCGACAGGCACGGCGTTGTCAGCGTCGGCCTTTCGTCGCTTCAGGGTCTGTTCACAGCCACCGTGGCCTATCCTGTTTCCTAGTATTATCTCGTTGGCCGTACAGGGCATGCTACTTAAATAGGACATGAAGGGACCACCAGAAAAATATGTCCCATTTAATAGTACTAGTTCCATTTACTCAGAGATGACCAGGGATTCAGAATGCGAAAACAAAACCAATCCTGTCAGATGCGTTTGTTCCATTTAGGTAACAGTTCTGTTCAATAGATTTTCGTTTACCGAATGTCTACTGTACTTATGAACTTCGGATCGCTGACGTCGCTTTGCAGCCATTTCTTGAGCTAACCGTTGCCTTCTTCATTTTTTGCGGACCAGTGATAAGCAGTGGGATTTACTCAATTTCTGTGGCACATACACATTCACAATGATGATAGTTTTCGCGACAGGCCACGCATGCAAATTACGGCTAGCTCAAACAGCTTCGCTCTTAAAAACAAGAAAAAGTCACAGCTTTGCCGCAAAGACAAAGCAATGAACGCGATAGCAGCAATTTCAAAGGTGACGTGCAGTATAGAAAGCAGATCTAAATGTGCCCCACATTTCTCACGCACAAATTACGCACAAAACGTACTTACAGATACGGATGCACGCGAATAAGCATCTCATTTGTTACTTCGATGAGCCAGAAAAGCGCCCACTTTTCGCGTACGGAGACTTCAATTATTGCAGTAACCTTTGTGGGCCTGGTAACTACAGAAAAATCGTTCCACGTAAAGCCCGAGGCCAGCCAAGGCGTACGATCCTCCCCTCCTTACCACCGCGAGATAAAGGTGCGAGAGGGAGCGTAGCTCTCCTATAAGCCGGGTAAAGTATGCGTAGGAGATTAGAGCGGGCGCCGCTGTGCGATGTGGCGACGTGCGCTCATTGCGCCATCTTTCTGGTAATGCCGAAAACACAGCAGCGGTAAGTGGTAAATATAAATAGCTTGCCGTTTGAACAGTGAAGAATACATATTCTCCAGGGTGGCTCAGTGGTTAATGCCTCGCTTTCACAACGCAGAGGTCCCACGTTCGATTCCGCGCGCCAGAGTGCTTTTTACTAGATTTTTTCTTTCTTGCGTTTTCATGTATGTAGATACGTATACAAATACGGTACATGACATCAACGCCGACGCCGGCGGCAAAATCTAGCCAAGAGTGTCCATATAATTGCTATCGCAATAAAAAGAAAGTGCTCAAAGTCATTCAATGTGAGCTGATGTACCAGTGTAGCTTTGTGGCCTCTTGTTTCATCTCTCCTCCTCCTGTGTAGCTTTCAATGTGCCGAGACAAAAGGAGAGTCAAAGGGATTAGAGTGCCGAAAAATCCCTGCAACTTTTCTCACGCTTGATGAATTGCAAAAATTTTTGAGGCTGTCGATTTATGACGCAATAGTGTCGTCCTACGATGATTGCAAAGAAAAGTGCTAATAATAATTGTTGGGATTTACAGTCCCGAAACCACGAGATGATTATGAGAGACACTGTTATAGAGGGCTCAGGAAAATTTGAGTACCTTCTTTAGTTGCACATTATAGAACACAGGACTTCAACACTATCCTCTCCATCGAAAATTGTGGCTGTCATGACTTCAAAAAGTGTTGTAAAAGTGTTGCCTTAAAACATTAGTTAAACTGTTCGCAGTTTGAGCACCGAAACTTGCTTGGGAGACGATGTTGCTTGAAGTAGCTCCTTGCTTCAATGTGCCTCCGAAAACCTAGAGATAATGCTACCGCCAATGCTCAGAATGTTAAATACGCCCAGATCATATTAGCTACACCGAAAAAGGTGCCTCTAAATACCAATTAAACTGTGTAAAACTTTGGAGAAAGCCAGTTGTTGAATATTTTATATGCAATAGTGAGGTTTGAGTGATAGTACATATTTTAAACGTGCTTGACGCTGCTGTGTGAGTTGGTGTTGTGCAACAGGGCAAAACTATGCACGGGAACAAGCGAACAGGAATGCCCCAGCACACTTGTAACAAGATGCTGAAAAAAAAATACTAAGACTGACTGTGGCTGACCTTGTTTTATATGTTCTATGTTGCAACATTGTATAAGCAGTTATTTAAAACTAGCAAGCTCAGTAGTTGGTCAACGGTACTATTTACATTTCAACTATACCAAGTTCAGTGTAGTGAGACATTATTTCTGTAAGCACACAGACAACCCTATCTGAATGCAAATTGGAACAGAATGTCCTTTTTTCCCCCTAGGCAAGTGCATGTGCATAAAAAGAAATAGGGAAGTATGAGCTATAACATACTTAGTGTAGAAATAATTAATAGTTACTCACTATATTCACTCATGTAATGGACACACTTGCATAATTAACGCTCACCCAACTTCAGTTGTCAAAATCTGGATTTTTTTTACTCCCACTTAATAAACGCACCCTTTACATTCGTATGCTGCAGTCCGGCTTACTGACACCAGGCGCCTCTTTGCCAGTTGGATCTCTGTTGTTTTTTATTTTTATGCCAACCTCTGCAGCCACCTCAGTTTGCTCCCCCCCCCCCCTTCACCCGCTGCTGCGTGCCGTGTTGTTCTTGTTATCTGCGTGTGACACATCCCCTGTCTTCTTTTATTATCCATGCACCACAGCGGGCTTCACAAATAGTTCGAGTGTAGAGACATCTCAGCTGATAAGCATGCAGCGAGCGAAGGTCACAATACTGCTCGCGCTAACGAACGGTCGCTTCCTGCAAATACGAAACTTTAAGACCAAACCACATGCATGCAATTTTCGAGCAACGACGACAGGATTTTCTGTCGGCATGGCTGTCGCGAAGGGATATTCATCGTCATCACGTCCCAGGTTTGTAGAAAACTAGAAAAAATCGCTTGTCGCCCAGAAAGGATCGTGACAAGTTGCGCAACATGGTAGCACCCCCCCATTCTCGCTTTTTCGTTGCAGTTTGCTCTTCATGCTAGTAATTTGCACGTACTTCAAGACCTTTTCTACAGTAACTTCTCACTTGAACAGCGATACAAGAGCTGTATTTTTTTTGTTGATCTTGTTATCGATGGTTTGTGTTGGATGCATTGGTGGTAGCTTGCTGCAGTGTTGGTTACTTGCTACAATGTCAACAGCGTCATAGCAGTCATTAGGCGAGGTTGCCACGAAGTTGGCAAAGTGCATCATAGCGTCGTAGCGCACGCTTCTGGGCATGCCTCGAGATCACAGCCAATACCACTGTTGCGGTTAAACGACCGCAAGAAAAGAAAGCCGCGAAATGCTTTTATGGAGTGCGCGGGCGGCGCGGGGGACAGCTTGCAGAAGTTAGCGTTATCAACCACCAAAGATGAATGCATTCAAGTGAAACAAAGCAGCTGTTTTTGAACAGTGTACCCATATCTCATTTGCGAAAGGCTAAGCCACCTAACTTTTTTCCTTTTTGCATTACCGCATTTTTCGCTCATCCCGAAAAAGATTTCATAAAATTTTTCCCGCATAACAAAACACACCTCTAACTTTGCTCAAGTGTTCGGAGAAAAAAGTGCGTTGATTACGCGAGTAAATACGGTAATCCATTGTTAACTTATAGGTGCCATTTTGTTAGAAAAGCACGAAAGTTAGCGATCTCTGTTGTATTGACACTGGTGTTGCCCAACAGACCCCGGCAACTCACCACAAAGGTGCAGTCCGACAGAGGATGCTGGAAGACCTTGCGATCGTAGTCGGGACTGCGCGAAGTCAGCTCCAGCAGCAGAAACGTGGACGACGACAGAAACTGCTCTTCCGATTCGGGCAGGTACATGTCACCTAGCAGGGCAACAAGGCGCTCCGTGGTGGCACGGGGCAGCCGAGTTTCTTGGCACCAGAAGTTTGCCACCAAAAGCCTGAAATCATGATGGAAAGACAACAAATGCACTAAGAGTGCTGGTGGTTGTAGTAGAAGTAGTCCACTTATAATGATATGCATGTGCCAAGGATATCCCATTGTTACAACTGATAATTATTATAAGCGAGCTCAGAAAAAAAAGAGGCAAAAGAGGAGAAGAAGGAATAAACTTTATTATAAGAAACCAGCAAGTTTAGGTGGCGGGGCCAAGGCCTCCCACGAGGGGTCGTCAAGGGCTTGCCTCGACGCCACCCCACGAGTGTGCTGCGTCGCCCAGCTTTGGTCGTCAAGAGCGGGGCTCCGCAGAGCCTCATGGAGCTTCGACGAAGGGTCACAGGCGTTAGTGTGTCTGTACTGTGTCAGGCACTCCCACAGCATGTGCGGAAGCGTAGCCGGGTGAGTGCCGCAGCACCGGCAGTGGGAGGTTGCGTACACGTCCGGAAATATGAGGTGAAAGCGGGCAGGTGAGGGATACGCGTCTGTTTGAAGTAGACGCAAAGTCGTGGCCTGTGCCCGGTTGAGCTTGGGTTGAGGTGGGGGAAAGGCTCGGCGGGCAAAAAAGGGACCAAAACATTTTATTTGCATGTAAGTAGGTAGTGCAACTATGGGCTACTTGAGGCAGAGAAAGCCTTAGTCTGTCAGCTTGATTGCTTCATGCAAGGCTGGTGCACATCTTTTTGAAGAACACCTAGGTGCTCCCCATAGTCGAGCAGAAGGTTTTTCATGGAAACAAAAGTGCCAGAGGGGCTGTATACTCTATTGGGCCACGTGTGACGACAGTACCTAGATAGGCTGCTCGATTGCATCGCCAGAGTTGCAGCTCCTCAATGCTGTCCGCAGCATGTGTCTATGCAACAATAGCCTCATCAATGAGGCGATTGGAAGTTTCTACAACATCGTCTGTATGAAGAAAGTTGTTCGTTTGTGGCAAAAGGCAGAGAAAGCACGGTGCAAATGACAAGCGAGCAAGACAGCAGTACGAGCCAACGCTGGTACGACTGGGCGCACATATGAGGCCAAAGTGTTGGTAGCGGGAGGGCAGTTGTGGAAGTCCCGCAGGAATGCTAATCCTCCTGTTGCTTCTTCTTCATAAGCGATGCAGTCGACTTGTTTTTTGAGGGGGTGGACAGAGTGCCAGGTGCACTGACATCACGGCGCATGCCGTCGGGCGGCCAGTGCAGGGCGGCACAGAGAACTTCTTTTGGTGCGCACTGTTGATTGATATGTGGGGTTTAACGCCCCAAAACCACCATATGATTATGAGAGACGCCGTAGTGGAGGGCTCAGGAAATTTCGACCACCTGGGGTTCTTTAATGTGCACCCGAATCTGAGCTCACGGGCCTACAACATTTCCGCCTCCATCAGAAATGCAGCCGCCGCAGCCGGGATGTGAACCTGGTGCGCACTGTTGCCGAATTCTATCGCTATATTTGATATTGTGACCTTGGAGCCTCGTGTAAAGAGCAGTTTATATAACCATAGAAGGCATACAAAAGTGGACGGTGCCATCATTTCTCATTGTTATATTTGATATCATGTAACAAACGGTATCATTATAAGGAGACTCGACTGTACACTAGACTCCCAGTAAACAGAAATCTCGTAAACGGAACTGCTGCTTCAACGAAACAACTGCATTTAATATAATTGGTTTCGTACATGGATTCGGCACCCTTGTTCATTTCTCAGTAAACGGAACTTCTGTTACATAGAACACATTTAAATGGTTAGTTCAGGCTCTTTTAGCGAGAGTAGTAGTGGTAGCAGTACACTCAAGCCTCATTGTAACAGAGTTGTATCTTTCCTGAAAATAGGTTTGTTATATCCGAAAATTCGCTATAAAGGTATGCTCCTGAAACTATATCTATTGCAAAGCTATTTTTCACTTTAGGTACTTAGTATACAGTTAAACCTGGATATAACAAAATTTATAAATTCCGGAAAAATTCGTTATAGAGAGGATTTTGTTATATGCAGGTTCGGCACAAAAATTCAGAAAGTAAACACGCAAATTAAACAAATGGGGGACTGAAGGCGGAGCTAACCAAAAACACTTATTTTACATTAAATATCTGTATTATTATTGCAATAGCAATTATATGGGCACTCTCAGCAGGCATTTGCCTGCAATGACCTGACTTTGGGCATGGACTTCCTGCGTGAATACGGCGTCGTTATCAACATTCCTGAGAGATAGGTAACGTTCTGGATGGCCCCAGGTCAAGTTTCGGATGAGCCCTGTACAGACCAGCGACGTAAACCTTTGCGCGTCTTCGATGACGACGTGACCATCCCGCCGCGGTCGAGTGCACTCGTGGCTGTGACATGTGACAATTCTGAAAACATCGCCGAGCAAATTCCAACACTGCTATTCAGCCATGGTTTATCTATCGCAAGAGGCGTCGTGAGCATAAAATGCGGACACACGCACTTCCTTGTTACGAACTTCAGCTCTGAACGCCGACATCTGACTATGGGCATGGCAGTCGCGTACATGGAAGAGCTCGCCGAGATGACAGACTGCCTAACTCTTGAGAAAGATAATTCAACTGATCTGCACCCTGTACCTCTATCTGTTGATATTGGCCCAAGTTTGCTGCCGGCGCAGAAGCAAAGAATCCTGCAGCTTATTAACCAGTTTGAAAATTGTTTCTCTTTGACGTCCAGGGTCCATCAAATGCCACTGATGAAACATCGAATTATAACGGACGACGTGACCAGACCCATCAGGCAAAACCCGTATCGGGTAGCTCCGTGGGAACGTGAAGCCATCGAAAGCCAGGTGCAACAGATGCTTGAAGATGACATTATTCAGCCGTCGAAAAGCCCTTGGGCTTTGCCTGTTGTATTAGTGAAGAAAAAGGACGGCACTTTACGTTTCTGCGTGGATTACCGCAAGCTGAATCAGGCAACAAAAAAAAAAAGACTTCTACCCACTTCCGCGTATCGACGATTCACTCGATCGACTACGGCATGCGCGTTATTTCTCGTCGATGGATCTAAAGAGTGGGTATTGGCAGATAGAAGTCGATGAAAGAGACCGGGAGAAAACAGCTTTCGTTACACCTGATGGCCTTTTTGAATTTAAGGTACTTCCATTTGGCTTGTGCTCAGCACCGGCAACGTTTCAGCGGCTAATGGATACCATACTATCAGGCCTCAAGTGGCAGACGTGCTTAGTGTATTTAGATGACGTCATCGTATTTTCTGCCACATTCGATGAACACCTCAGGCGACTTCACTCAGTAATTCAAGCTATTCGTTCCGCCGGACTAACACTTAAGCCAGAAAAATGCCACTTCGGCTTCGAAGAGCTTTTGTTCCTGGGGCATCTTGTCAGCAGTGAAGGTGTGCGGCCTGACCCTGAAAAAATAGCTGCCGTTACGAATTTTCCAACGCCAACTGACAAAAAGACGGTCAGACGGTTTTTGGGACTGTGTGCGTACTACCGACGCTTCATTAAGAACTTCTTGCGCATTGCCTCGCCGTTGACCCGCTTTACCAGAGAAGACGTCGCACTTGTATGGAATGAAGAGCAGCAAAAATCATTCGACGAGCTGCGGCAACACCTTCAGAAGCCACCTGTCCTCGCACACTTTGATGATGACGCCCCGACAACAATGCACACCGAGGCTAGCAATGTCGACTTAGGAGCTGTACTCATGCAGTGTCAGGATGGCGCTGAACGAGTAATTGCTTACGCGAGCAGAACTCTTTTACGTGCGGAAGAAAATTATGCCACCACGGAAAAAGAGTGCCTTGCCGTAGTGTGGGCCGTTATGAAATTCCGCCCATATCTGTATGGTCGTCCTTTTAATGTTGTCAGCGACCATCACTTTCTTTGCTGGCTGACAAATTTGAAAGACCCTTTAGGACGGTTGGCGCGCTGGAGCCTGAAGCTTCAAGAATTTGACATGACGGTGGTCTACAGATCGGGGAAGCGACATTCAGACGTCGATTGCCTTTCAGACGTCGAGTGTGCCATACGAACCTGCAACGGCAGAAGATGACGATACAGCCTTTGTCGGAGTTGTAAACACAGTTACTGTCGCACAGCTGGAGCGAGGCGACCCGCAACTAAAACCCATATTTCGTTTTTTGGAGGGTCACACTTCAGCTGTACCTAGATTGTTTGCGAGAGGGCTTTCGTCATTTTGCTTGCGCAACAACGTCCTGTATAAGATGAACTTCACGTCACACGGAAACGACTACTTACTTGTCGTGCCAACATCTCTAAGGAGTGAAGTACTACAGGCATGCCACGATGAACCAACATCCGGCCACTTGGTTTACACGCGCACGCTGTGCAGAGTGAGGCAGAAATACTACTGGCCAAGACTGGCGGCCACCGTTCAACACTATGTTCGGACGTGCCTTGATTGCCAGTGCAGAAAAGTCCCATTCGTCAAACCAGCAGGCCTCCTCCATCCTGTTGACGTGCTTGTTACTCCATTCGCTCAAGTCTGTGTGGGTGCTGACACCCCCTGTAGAGTTGTTTGCGCCGCGTGGTGCACGTGTCTCGCACAAAAGCCGTATTTCGGGAGTGACAACCGCCGGTTGATAGATGGCGTTGTATTCGCGTTGAGTACCACTGTTGGTAGAGTGGTAGCGCCGGCTGTGACCCCTAGCGGAAGGCAGGCCTTGGTGACGGGCGAGAATTGAGCGAGTCTTCTGCGCGTGGCGGCTGCCGCGAACGGTTGTCTGTCGCGGTGGGTCTGCCGTGGACGGCACCGCGGGCAGCCTGCGGTAGGCCCACGTGGTGAGTGAACCGTTGGCGACGCCACCTTTTGTGTGCTCTTGTGTTATGTTGTTTGAGTGTTTGGTAATTTTGTGTAATGATGAGTTAGTGTGTTGATAATGATTGATGTATCATTCGGCGGACGATATCGTCATTATAAATTAGCTAAATAAATGTATATTATTGTTTGGTTTGTACCGACCGTGTCTGCTGTGTCCGTTCACTCCAAGAGCATGGCGAGGCGCTCCCCTCGTCGAGACCCCACAAGTCTGAATGGATCTTTTGGGCCCATTTCCCACCTCATCGGCAGGTCGCAGATGGATTATAGTAGCCACGGGCTACCTCACTCGTTACGCCGAAACCAAGGCTCTGAACAGGGGCAGGCAAATGAAGCAGCCTGATTTTTCGTGGAGAATGTGGTGCTGAGGCATGGCGCTCCGTCAGTGGTAATAACTGACAGGGGAACTGCATTCGCAGCCGAACTATTACAGACGGTCTTAAGACTTAGTGGCACATCCCACCGGCGAACAACGGCGTATCATCCTCAAGCGAATGGTCTTACGGAGCGTCTCAACAAGACACTTGCGGATATGCTCTGCATGTACGTCGATGTGGAGCACAAAAATGGGACGAAATCCTGCCGTATGTCACCTTCGCCTATAACACGGCTCATCAAGAAACAACAAAAACAACGCCATTCCGCCTTCTTCGTGGTCGTGAAGTCACCACTATGCTGGATGCTATGCTGCCACACGAGTACGAAAACATCGAGACGGATGCTGATTATATCACCCAGCTTGCCGAAGAAGCATGACAACTTGCACGCCTACGTATTAGTCGCCAGCAAAACTACGATTCAAGACGGTACAACCTTCGTCACTGACTAGTCTCATACGAGCCCGAGCCAGGAGAGAAAGTTTGGATATGGACTCCTATTCGGCGCCGTGGCCTCTCAGAAAAACTCCTAAGACGGTTTAGTTTACGACGTCTCAGTTTTACGACGTCTCAGTGATATTAATTATGAGGTTGTTCCTGATACGGTGCACTCATCAAGGCGTCGAAGGTGTGCTCCAGAAGTTGTGCACATTGTTCGGATGAAACCTTATTTCTCCGAATGAACTCGTGCGTTTCCAGCGAGTACGAACCACTTGACTATAAAGCATCGGGAATGATGCTTTCTTGAAAGGGAGGCTATTGTCACGGCTAAAGGCCGGGCTCATCACAACGAAGTGATGAGCGTAGGCAGCACCCACGGTTGCTTCGAGAAAGACGACGTTGAAGCGGCTGCTCCTTTGTTCTGTCAATACAGACCTTGTTTTTCCTGGTCACACCCGCGTCCTGTATCCTGTTATTTTCACGTTACGACAATATATTGTTTCCTGCCACAATCCCAACTGTCGGTCTGTGAATGCCTATACGCCGCACATGAGGACTGTCCATGGACTTGCACAGGATCGAAGAATAAAATAGCTATTTAAGATGTGCAAATTTATGGGCATGGACTTAAAGAACAAGTTTGCGATATAATGCGAAGCATGAGTTGCCCACTCACCTCAATGGCAAATCCGCATCGCCCAGGCCCAAGAGCAGCACACGCCTCGCCTGTTTCATCAAATCTGCCCCTCTCTCACTGGACCTGCACGTAAATTTGCACAAATTTGCACATGGGGGCAACACAACATGCAGAGGTGAGTCATGCAGGCACCGATAAACACATTCTACACAATCACGCATGCATAAAAACCATTATGCCAGAAAGCAATGTGGGTTTAACGTTTTTTGGGTTTAACTAAAGGTAATTTGGGTTTAACAGAAGTCGTTTGGGTGTAACGTCCCAAAACCACCATATGATTATGAGAGACGCCGTAGTGGAGGGCTCCGGAAATTTCGACCACCTGGGGTTCTTTAACATGCACCCAAATCTGAGTACACGGGCCTACAACATTTCCGCTTCCATCGGAAATGCAGCCGCCGCAGCCGTGTTTCGAACCCGCGACCTGCGGTCAGCAGCCGCAGTCATCAGCTGCAGGTCAGTGCCAATTGACCACTATGGGGGGGTTTATGAGAGAAAGGGGATACTATAATTTTGAAACAGCTGTCCAGCATGTTCCAACCAACCACATCTTTTGACATATAAGCATAAATAATACAACAGCCTTTAACTGCCATAATGTTGTTTAAGGTTTAGATACCCAATTTTTCTCATGATGATGGTCTCACAATGTTTAGTTATTTTAAAGCATTAAATGTTCTTCTAACTCATTTAGAGCTCAAAGTGAATTTATTTGCAGAGAGTCTAAGGAGAACATTATGTAATGTGGACAGGCCAGTATTGAAATGTCGCTATAAATAACCCAGATATAACAAAATATCAGTTATAACAAAGTAAATAAAACATAGTCTTGCAATAGATACTATGTTAGGAATATACCTTTACAATAATTTTTCGGATATAATGAACTCATTTTCGTGTAAGATGCAACTTCATTATAATAAGGTTTGAGTGTACGTCAATAAAGACTCGTGAAGGCATCCATTTGTAAGCGGCAGGAGTATATGGTGAACACTAGGCAGGGTTGCGGAAGACAAGTGGGGGCTTGTCCGAGATAGAGCTGACATAAATTCCAGACTAAATTGACATAAATTGCTTTCTCTTCTTTTGGCAAATGACGGAAGATGCTCAAAAATAATGAGTAGAAGGCCATATATAAACTATTTGCTGATTTGAACATGGCGCGCTCGGTTGTTATAGAGATTGCCGCGGGAGGCCAAGACTTTCCCACGCGAGCGCTCATGATCACACTGAAAAAGCAACGTATTCGAAGGAAAAAAAAAATTGCAGCATAATATCCACTGAGTGAATGATGATTGGTTGGGCGAAACATTCATCGTTCGTCCGTGCTGTCGTCCGCCCATTCGTTCTTGCTTCCGTTCGTACATGCGACCGTCTGTGTGTCCGTCTATCCATGTGACCGTCGGTACATCCGTCCGTTCGTGTGTCCCTTCATACGTCCGTTCTTCTGTCTGTCTATACATCCGTCCGTGCATCTATTCGTGCGGCCATCCCTCTATCTGTCTGTCTGCCCATTCATCCGTCCGTCCGTGCGCCCGCCCCTCTGTCTGTCTGTGCATCCGTCAGTCTGTCTGTTCATCTGTATGTCCGTCTATCCGTCTATCTAGTGAGAACTCCAAGCAAAGCCATCTCACACCTTTTCATCATGCATTCATCATATACAAGTGCCGCCATCCAGCAGACATTATAAGGACCGCTCTTTCAGGTAGGTGCCACCGGTGGCTACATACACCATCGGAGGTTGGGCAGACCCACACACTAAGGAGCTTCGCCCCTAAATGTGCTCAAGGTCACGAGGCGCACGTGACGTATTTTTTTTGCCTCGGCCGTCCCTCTCTGCTTAGCTTCCAACGCTTTTGTCGGGACGAGAGAACAGAAAACGAGATTGCAGCGTGCGACAAATCTTTGTAACTCCGCTCGTACTGAACGGATTCTTAAAACTTTTGTGGCGTTGAATACGTGAGGCAATAAGCTCTTTTGGTGAATCTCTTCCATGGTTACTTGAAAAAGTGTTTCAGGGGCCCTTTAACTATTGAATGCGAGCCTGTCATCTGGATCTCAGACGGCGCAGGAAACCCGAGTTAGTCCTTACAAACCTGCCAGACTGCAAAGTCTCACTGACATAAAGGTAAAACGATTGCAAAAAGTCGACTGACCTGTACTTTGTGTAGAGACGCATGCATACGTCGTACACCAGCTTCCTGCAGCTGACGTTGGCGTGAACCTGCAGTTTGCAGATGACGGGCAGCAGCACGTGCCAGTCTTGTTCAGTGGCCACTGTGGTGAGCTTGACGCAGATATCAAGTGCCACTTTTTGTATTCCGTCGTCACTGCATTTCCACAGAAAGCACATGATGACAGGCGTAACTGAGTGGCATTGTGAATGGGGATGTAGAAATACAATGCTGCAGTAAACTGCCGTTAAGACGAACAGGTTAACAGATTTCTCGGATGCATTGAACAATGTGAGAACATGACAGTGGTGAGGACACTCCAGATTATTCTCAGGAAAAGGAAAAAAAGAAAGATGAGTGCAGTACTATTTTCCGTTCCTTCTCTCCTTTTACTATGCCAATTCTGTGATTCTGCAATCTACACAGTTAAAGAAAACAAACACCTGTTAAAAATATTTTAAAAAACAATAATATTGTTACCACATGTGTAATTTAGGTATGTGCACCTGTGTAGCGGGGAACATGGTGGTGGCAGAAGAAGAGGACGTTTGGTTGGTGGCAAGAGCTCGCTGCTGCGCGTTCACTGCTGTATACCGTCGAGTCGACCGTTACGTCGGCTCTGAATAAACCCCTCTCGTAGACGTGACAGAGTGGTGGAGATGCTGAGTACGGCACGTCGACATACCACGGAGCCACAGCTGTTCGGAGTTCGCCGGAGCCGTCGTCTTGCCGGTCTGCCGCCGACAACAGTCGTCATGGCCCAGAGCGAAGGTAAGGAATCAACCACCTCGACTTCGCGCACGTCTACGCTGGCTACACCTAGGCAACACTACATGGAACCCCACCCGTTCGCGGGAATGGCAGGAGAAGATGTGGACGCGTGGCTAACGCACTACAAAAGGGTGAGCGGGTACAACCACTGGAACTCTATCGATCAGCTGGAAAACGTCGCGCTGTTTCTCATGGACACTGCCCTGATGTGGTATGAAAACCACGAAGAGTCCTTGACAACATGGGCACTTTTTGCTCAAGAACTGAAGAAGTGTTTTGGTGACTCCGACTCAAAAAAGAAAAGCGCGGAGCGGACTCTTGCTGGGAGAGCCCAGACTCCTGGAGAAACCTGCACTGCTTATATAGAGGACGTTCTTAAGCTTTGCAAGATTATAAACCCGCAGATGTCTGAAGAAGACAGGGTTGGACACCTCTTGAAAGGCATAGCGGAAGACGTCTACAATTTTCTGACAGGCAGGGATGACCTCACCTCTGCCTCCGACGTCCAACATCACTGCCGCACGTTTAAAAAATTGAAGACTCGTCGCATCGCCCCAAAATTTGGTAGGCTGGCAAATGTGACAACGGTCGCCAGCGTCGACGTGAGCCCGCCCACCGACCTTGCCGCTACTATTCGGGGGCAATTGTGCGTGAAGAGCTGCAGCGACAAGGTGGTAGGGTTGACGAAACCATTCCGCATCCACCTACCAATTCACCCTACTACACGGCGGCGCCATTAGCTTCTTTGCCACCATTGGTAAGTGTGGCAGACATCAGCGAAACTGGAAATCCGCGGCCACGTCGTGACTGATTCGCGACCGACCAGCGATATGGCCAACGCCTTCGTCACGGCCCCGCCACCCAGAGGTGGGCAGCCCCCGCTTCACAGCTGAGCGGTCTCAGCATTGGTTCGGCGAGCGTCCTCTACCAGTCTGCTACAACTGTGGCTTCGAAGGACACATTGCCAGGTATTCCAACTACCGGCAGCCACCAAGGTACGACCGACCACCGAGATTTAACCGTTGTGGCGTTACCCGAGCACCGACATTCCTGGGAAGCGCGTCTTACGAGATCCCAGGACCGCTACGAAACCAATCTCCGGCCTCTGACCGCAGTGTGACACCACCACCTGCCCCTCGCGCCAACCGATCACCGTCTCCTCGGCGCCGCCGCTCCTCGCCTCCTACGGAAAACTAGCCGGCGCGGCCGTTGGAGGTGAGGTCGCCGGACAGTCTTCGATTTCAACATTTCCCTCCGCTCAGCATGATTCACCGTCATTCCCTGCTTCTCGTATAAAGCACCGAATCGACACGACATCTCACAGACCTCTCCGACAGAAACCATATCGTGTATCGCCTTCGGAACGCGCAGTGATCAATGAACAGGTTTGCGAGATGCTCAAGCAAAATGTAATTCAAGAATCATGTAGTCCGTGGGCCGTTCCAGTAATTCTAGTGAAGAAGAAGGATGGGACATCGCGATTTTGTGTTGACTACCGCCGTCTCAACGCCATCACTAAAAAAGACGTATACCCACTCCCGCGGATTGATGATGCTATCGACTGTCTATCATCGGCCTCTTACTTTTCGTCTGTGGATCTGAGGTCAGGCTACTGGCAGATTCCAATGCACGAGGAAGACAAGGAGAAAACGGCATTTGTTACAACAGATGGACTATTTGAATTCAATGTGATGCCGTTCAGACTCTGCAATGCGCCCGCAACTTTTGAGCGATTTGTGGACAACATTCTGCGTGGATTGAAGTGGGAAGTGTGTATGTGTTACTTGGACGACGTTGTAATTTTTGGGCGCACCTTTTGTGAGCACAACACACGCCTTGGCCTCGTACTGGACTGCCTAAGCAAAACACGCTTGGTGCTCAATTCAAAGAAATGTCGTTTCGGAGAGCGCCAAACACTCGTCCTTGGACACTTAGTAAACAAAGAAGGCATACGACCGGATCCCGCCAAGACGGCCGCAGTGAAGGCGTTTAAGCAACCAAACTCGGTGGAAGAACTGCGCAGCTTTTTGGGGCTTTGTTCATACTTTCGCCGATTCATTCCTGGCTTTGCCAATATCGCATACCCGCTCACGTGTCTGCTTCAGAAAGGTGCGCAGTTTGACTGGACCCCGAAATGCGAGTCTGCTTTTCCGAAGTTGAAGTTTCTTTTGACGTCTCATCCAATTCTTCGACACTTCAATCCTCTGGCGCCCACTGAGATTCACACAGACGCCAGCGGTATTGGTGTAGGTGCTGTCCTGGTTCAACGCTTGGATAATCAAGAACACGTCGTAGCGTATGCAAGTCGCTCGCTCAGCAAGTCCGAGCGTAACTACACTGTCACAGAGCAAGAATGCCTTGCAGTAGTCTTCGCAGTGCAGCGCTTCCGGTCCTACCTGTACGGACGCCCCTTTACTGCCGTGACAGACCATCATTCTCTCTGCTGGTTGGTCAATCTGCGTGACCCATCTGGTCGGCTGGCGCGCTGGGCACTTCGTCTGCAAGAATATGACTTCACGGTTTCCTACAAAAGCGGCCGACGTCACGCTGACGCAGATTGTCTTTCGCGACTACCGCTTTCAACGACGGAATGTGACGCGGACACCTTCGATACCTAAATTGCATCACTCGACCAACCATTTCCCGATAACAAGACCTTTAAGAATGAGCAACAAAGGGACAGCACCATACAACAGCTTCTTGCTACCAAACCAAAATCATCGCCTACGCGCTTCTGCATCCGAGACGGGCTAGTTTACAAAAAGAACTACACCAACACCGGCTCACGATATCTTCTGGTGGTTCCGAAGAGTCTTCGCGTTTATGTCTTGCAGGCTGTGCATGATGACCCAACATACGGTCATCTAGGCACAGCGAAAACTCTTTGCCGTCTTCAAGAAAGATTCTACTGGCCCAAAATGCGCCAGATGACGGAACAATACGTGTCTAGCTGTAACGAGTGCCAACGTCATAAGCGCTCAACAAGTGCTCCTTTAGGGCGATTACATCCGGTGCCGCCCCCTAGAACTCCATTCGAGCAAGTCGGGATTGACCTCCTTGGACCCTTTCCCCGGTCTTCTGATAGAAATCGCTGGATAGTCGTTTGCACCGACCATTTAACACGGTACTGCGAGACAGCTGCCATACCATCGGCAACTGCAGCCGATGTGTCTTCCTTCATGCTACGTTTTGTAATTCTTCGACATGGACCTCCCAAAATTGTAATCAGTGACCGTGGCCGACAATTCACAGCAGACGTGATGGAAGAGATGCTTCGTGTCTGTGCTTCAAGGTTTCGGCACTCTACGCCATATCATCCCCAAACGAACGGTCTAACTGAACGAACGAACAGAACTCTCTCAAACATGCTGTCTATGTATGTTGCATCAGATCACAAGGACTGGGACAGTATTCTACCCTTTATCCCATATGCATTCAACACCGCTCAGCATGAAACTACCGGCTACAGTCCTTTCTTTCTTCTATATACTCGACCACCTCGTCATACCCTGAATACCATCTTCCCGTGTTTGGACCACCATGATCTCTGCATATCCGAGATCATCTGTCGGGCCGAAGAAGCTAGACGCCTTGCTTATTTGCGCACTCTTGCTTCGCAAGACCGCTCGAAGGCACATTTTGACCGCCAACGCCGACACGTGACGTACAATCGCGGCGACCTAGTGTTGCTGTGGACACCAACTAGAAAACGCGGTTTGAGCGAGAAACTGCTAGCGCACTATGCGGGGCCTTATCTTGTTGTAGACCGTATCAGTGATTTAGTTTATCGCATAGCGCGTCTCCATTCAAACGGCCGACGGTCTGCAAAAACTGAACTTGTCTATGTTGCACATTTGAAGCGCTTTATTCCTCGAGAGACTGTTTGACTCGCCCAGTGGGCTTCGTCTGCGCGGAGGGAAATGTTACCACATGTGTAATTTAGGTATGTGCACTTGTGTAGCGGGGAACATGGTGGTGGCAGAAGAAGAGGACGTTCGGTTGGTGGCAAGAGCTCGCTGCTGCGCGTTCACTGCTGTATACCGTCGAGTCGATCGTTACGTCGGCTCTGAATAAGCCCCTTTCGTAGACGTAACAATATGAAAGAAGTAGTGACATATATTCAGCTCCTTATTTTTTCTGTTGCGATAAATAGGCTAGCAATATAAACCCGCTTTTCACAGCAGGGAATCCTGTGTGAGCATGTAATGATTAAGTGTTCGGGGACGTTTCTATAGTGCCCAGTTGCAGTGCGGTTTCAGGAAATGCTGACAGAGAGGGTAACAACCAGAGACCAAAACTATGCACTTGAAATAACGCATCTGATCCTCTATCACTGAGCCAAGGTGGCAGTCATTTGTCTGTTCACTTTATAGAGTATTATGTGC